AGTTGATGTAATATTTAGCCCCTCTCCATCTTTTTGTACTTACTATCAAAACAGGCTTGTGAAGTTAGGAGTAGCAGAAGAAATAAGGAGATCCAGTGATAACTACAGACAGCAGAGAGTCTAGTGAATATCCCAGGTCAGCCTTTGGCCAGTACTCCTCTCCATTCAGTGGGCACTTACTAATGTCAATGAACTGCAATGCAGTGCAGGATTAAGGTAACCCGGTGTAAAGAAGCTTTCATATCATCTGCCTAATTTGTATTTGGCTTTTGCTAATGCCTCAGGTTCATGAACAGCAGTTTTCTATGCTTTTTATTTGGTGTTAGAGGTGAATTTTTTAGTACAGCATCGACATGAAGAAGTAAGAAACAAAACTAGAGAGAAAGACATACCTGAATAAAGAAGAAATCCTTTCTTACAGCATTTAATATACATAGGCTGTTTGTTGAATGCTAACTGTGTGCTGTGAGGTGAGGGTGCATTCTGAATACTTAACCTGTGTATGGATTTATAACCCTCATTTTATAGAAGTACTTCTGAGCCATAGAAGTATTTTATTTTTCATTATTTTAATATTAAAACATATATCTAGTTTGTATGAGTCTGAGTCAAATGTAATGTAATATTAAGGAATTTAGTGAACAGTATCTTTTTCCAATTGTATGTTTCTCACCTTTCACAGGAGGCTCCAAAGTATGGTTGGAAGGAATATTACTCTTGTGTGATGACTGTAACCAGTGAACATCTCAGAGATCTATGGAAGCAATTTCGGAGACGAGATATGCTGAGATGAAGAAAGAAGGAGGATCTGCACTGGTTAGAACTATTTCTTCCTGTGAATTCCTAATGAAGAGCAAACTAACCCAGGTGAATCGTCAATCTTCCAGCTGCAGTAGGAAACACGGGACTTCTTTTCCACTTACTGTAGTGATCATCAACTCTTACAGCTGCTTTTCAGTATGTATTCTATTTAAATGACCAACTGTCACCCGATTAAGCAGAAGCCTTTTTTTTAAGAACACATTTTCAAAATATTTTTTTTGAGGTATGTTTGTCGTTAAAAAGAGAACAAAAATAAATTTTACACCTGGGTAGGCAAATGTTTGGCAATGAAGAAAAACTGCCCACATCAGCTTAAATTGTGAATTTGCTTTCAGGAGAGCACTATTAAAAGTTTGCGCTAAATTGATAATGAGAATACATTAAGTAGCATAACAATTATATACGAGTTGAATGTACAAATTAAACTCTTAGAAGCTAACAAAGCTGTTGTTTTAAAAAGAGTAAAGCTGTTATGGTTATAATGTGAATGATAGGTATTTACCTAGGAACGGTACTGTATGGACTATAACATTCAGACTTTCGAAGTCTTACTATTACGTTTATTAATTTATCCTCTAAAAAAATAGTACAGATTTTAAGATGTCTTACGAGCAGTATGTTGAAGAAAAGTCAAAATGTTTAAATTTACGTTAAGTAACACACACTTTGTAATATTTATTATAAATTTTATTGCCGTACGTATAAATTCACTGGTATATTTCTGGTAGAGTAAAACGTCTGTGTTTCTTGTGAACAGTGCACTTTTATATGAAATTAAGATGTGGCGCTGAATCGAAATCATAGTTGTCTAATTTGCTACTCTGGAATGCAGTATCTGAAAACAAAGTATAAATAACTTGTGTTTGTGTCAAAAAAAGCAAAACAAAACATGAATGCATGCAGCAGTACAGAGCAACACTCACTAAGTAATATTATTGGAATACTACACATCAAATATTAGATACAAATTAGGCCTTACAAAGGTTATGGAGACTATAGGCAATCAGTAGCCACCATGACCTTTCATGCCCTGTGGGTTTGGATGTTACTGAAACCGTGGTAAGGCCACTGTTACATTTGGCTTTCATATTCTCTAAATTTTTTCTTTGCTATTCAGCAGCAGCGTTTTCCTTACTCCCTTTCAAGATGATCGTTAGGTGGTGTGAATTCAACACAAACGAACATGAACACCTATTTCTTATATCCTTCTTGAAAAGGTTCACTGGACATTAAATAACTCCTATCTATTTAGGAACAATCTGTACCTTGAAATATTTCTAGCTGAATATACACACACTAAAACTAATGTCAATAAATTGTTATCAGAAAGGCAAATATTTGATGGAGTCTAACAATTAAAGTAGAACTAAAAGAATGGTTTTAAATCTTTTATTACTCCAAATACCTGTAAGCAAACTTTTCAAAATTGTATTTAGTGCACGTTGCTCAAATACCATCTTACATCATATGTGAAAAGTTGCATAGCATCTGTGTAAGTAAATCTAAGTTTAGAAATGTTTAATTTATAATAAGATTTATCTCTGCTAAAAAATCAGAACAAAATGAAAAGGAAGATATTTTTTGAGAAATTCCACTCTGGGACTCTTAGGAAAAAAAAATATGCCAGGTGTGGCTTTTATCTGAGAAAAAGCCAGTTCAGAAAGGTTTTGAAGGATGCTACTTTAGTTAATATTTCATCATAAATATTTATCAAATTTCCACCTTGGCGTCCTTAAACTACCGACAAGAAAAATCAAATCAATTGAGGTAAAGACACAACAGAACATGGATAAGCTGCAATCCCTGTGTGATCATTTAGGGAATTGATTGTGTTCAATGTATCTTCTTGGTACGCAGAACTGTCTCACTGCTTTTTGTCAGCATATGCAAACCCAATTTGCTACTTCAGTGATGAAGGACAAAAAATGGGAAGAAAGGATAGGGAGTTATTGAAGGGGTTCCCCTCCTTCCTCTTCATTCATTACTGCCCACTCACAGTGATCCTCTCTGTGCAGGAAGCAGCAGCACCATCATCATTTTGCTCCTCCACTGCCCCAGGCAGTAGTGCACTTTGCTTTTATGGCTGGCTTGAGACAATTTTATCTTTTTTCTATATATTTCCTAACTGTAGTCACTTAATGTAAAATAAAATGTGAAAGTGTCAGATTAGTTTTTAACAGTATTTTTTCTCATGTTTAATAATAAGTTATTTAATATAAATATGAATATATGCATATAATATTATTGTTTATTTCAAAATAAATTAACTTGAAACTCATTTTCTTTGCAGTGTCTATCATTCAAATTATTTTGTCATAAAAATTCTTTTTTGCATAACATGAATCATATGTACAGGTGCTTTGAATTAGAGCATCACAAAAAATAGACTTTTTTGCTTCTTTCAGATGTTTCTTTAGATAGCTTTGCTTCTCTGCCGCGGAATTCTCTGTAAAAGAGCTGGAAGTACAAGGACAGACAGGTGAAAACAAAGCAAGGTAATGGGACATGCCATCTGCTACAGAGGCACCCCTCGGATAGGCAGCAGTCAGTGTGCTCAATAAAACCTTGTGCAAGATCTGCCCAATTCCTGGCAGCAGAGAAAACACGTACACTGCAACTAAATTATGTGACAGTTGCGTGGCTGAAGGCTTTTTGTAAAACCAGCTCTTGTTCTCTTCTGTAAGCTAAGAAAACTGTAATAATACAAGAAGATACTCAGTGGATGCTTAGGAACTGCCCACGGATGCCCAGACCAGCTGTAAATGGTGATAAAATGGTACCTATTAAACCTGCAGCTTTGGGTGGCTTTGTGATACTAACTTCTGTCTGAGCTCTGATGAATTCCTAGTTCCCAGCAGAATATCCTGTACTGCAGGCTGCTCCCTGCTAATTTGATGTTTAAAATCACACCAGCTGTTTCCCTCCTTGCAGGTTTTGACAGTAAGTGGATACAAATTACTTGCACTGCATATGCATGTATTGTATGCCATGGAAGAATGTTATCAGCCTGAAGAAAAAGAAATACTATTTAGTGGTGACTTGCAGCATATTGTTGGTCATGCTGTCTGGTTTTCTATAGTTATCTGATCTCCTCTTTTACACCTAAATATCAGGGTAAGGGTGTTTTGTAACAAAATGAGGAAAAAAAATTATAGAGGAATTTTTTGCTTTGCTTTGGTTCAACATTGTGTAATAGTCTTTATGTAATGATGTGTCTTGCTCTCTTGTCTCACTGAGGACACTTTCAAGACAGTTTCTAGCAAAAGAACTCCAGACTTAGTTGCAGAAGGAAAAGAATCAGACCAAAAGCTCACTATTCAAAAAATGAATCTCAAACAAAACTAATGTGTAGCCATACCAAGTCTGAACTCCCCTTAAAATCAAGCCAAAACTCATACGAATATTTTCTAATACATGTGAGGTCTTAATGTACAGCATTTTTCCCCATATCTGAAAATTCATGAAAGCATTTGGCACCCTGAACCTGTCAGCAGATGGTGCCCTTGGATATATTCTGTTCCTGTTCTTACACACACAATTAAATGCATGGGGGTGTGATTTAATCTTGAATGGGTAATGTTAATTTTTACCACTAGTTTGACTTACAAATTCCTCCCACAGAGCAACATTATTATAGCTAGGAGTGTTCCATAAAAATCTTAGTACCCACTTGAAAATCTTAACATAAAATATCTAAGTTTATATATATAAACATGCACAGAAACAGCAACATACTAACCATATTTAAGTTTTAGTAATATTTATTCAATGTAAGCAAATAAACTATTTTTTAAAAGTACAAAGAGCTGAGTTACCTATTTATATGTCCACCTTAGTTTAGAAAGAAATCAGTATCATTACACAGGAACTTTTCCAGCTCCTGTTTCATAGCTATCCATTGCAAGTAACTTTTCATTTACAGTTTTCTGGCAATAAATTTATAATCCTTCTCCTTTTTAAGCAGCCATACCCATAAGTCATACTTTTTTCATAAATGGTTTTGCTGTTAAGTAGTTTTAGGTGATTTGCCTGAGGTTGTAAGTTCTAGTTTGAAACAATGAACTCTGACTCACTCTAACCCTGATTCAGAGGCACCAACCTAGGTTCAAAAGAGTGTAGTGCTATAAAAATACACTTTCAGGTATTCAGATCTCTGCAGTAAAATACCGAGCCTTAAGTTAGTCAGCTAGGCTCCCTAAGAATGCATGCAGAGAATTGCATGGGATCCAGAAATACCACAAACTGTTTAAAATCAGCAAACTAGCTAACCTAGTTAACCAGGCAGTGCTGAGGCATTTCAGAGCATTGGCTGTGTAAAAGCGGGTTTAAATTGCCTGAGCTAAAAAAAAAAAAAAAAAAAAAAAGGCTGTCAGACTGATAGTTTTACATTTACATGCCTGCTTTTGGAGACAACTATTAAGCCACAGATCTTCTACTCCAAAGGGCAGAAGCCACTGAATCAGTGCATACAGCATGGGATGTCACTAGATGAGATAAGGTTTCTTATATACAGCTCTTCGGGGGCTTTCCACCCCAGGGGTCATGATTTTTGCCTAAGTAGAGACATGTACAGTAGAACTGGTTTAAATTTTTCCCATTTTTCTTATCTTAAGTGGCAAAAGGGGAAGCAGCAGGGGAATAAAAACTCAAGATGAATACGTCTAGGAAAAAACAATGCAATAAAAAAAATTACTGCTGAAAGTGACAGAAGAGTGGGTGGGTAATAAGCCCAAATATGGCTTAAAACAACTTCCCTGAAGGCAGACTCTGACAAATATAGTATTGTATCAATACAGGGGTAGCAATCAAGAAATTCCAGGAAGGATTCATCACTTGAAAAGGAGCTAAATGAGCCTCTCCTACGGAGAACCAGGCAAATTTCCACAATGTGGAGAAGTAAACAAAAATAAATAAATAAATAAATTAATTAATATGACAACAGTTAGGTTTGGGTATCCAAACAGTGGCAAATAATTAAGTACCTAACTAGGACAAAGGGAGAGCAACAGGTTGAATACGTCTGAGCCAGCCCTTCCATTAAAATACATCTGACAGCTAGACTGAGACTGGAGAGGCTACTAAGCTGCTTGTTTTCATGTAACTGGGAGCCACAAACTATACACAGATGGTACTTGACTCCAGCTGCGATGGAACATACATTTTCTAAGCAGTATCTTATGCCAGAGACATTGCAGAGAGATTTCTTTTTCTATGTGTGGTAAGTGTGGTTCAACACACAAACATTCTGGAGAGAAGCAAGCAGCACAGTTGCTGTCATGAAGGTCAGAGAGCATCTCCGTAGAGCCACGGGTTCGCCTAATTCCTGCCGTGTGCCAGTATGTGTGTGTCTAGGTGTATTCCTGCATCTAGCTGCTGCTCTATGTATTGCACTGCGTGAAGGCAAATATTTGTACTCCTGTCCTATTGTCCCTCCTCCTCTTGCTGCTCCCCTGAATATGTGGTGGGAGAGAAAGTATTGCACCGTATCAGATTGCTTACATAGAG